CAAAATGCTTCTAGCTTTGGTAAAGGTGTGATCTGAGTAGACACAAGTCAAGCAAGAAGTCAGATGGATTTATTTAACAAAACTGGCTATGAGAAGTTGGGGAAGAAGAAATCGTTCAATTAATTACATGCTTCTGTGCTAATGGTATAGGTAATGCTGGCATTGATCATTACGCACCATGCGATAGATGTAATGCTAAGAAAGTAATGAAAAATACATTAGTGTATATGGTTAGAAAAAATGGTAAAGCAAAGGAGAGGGATGCCCATGTGCATGTGTGTGAGTACGCTGGTGCGCGGGGGGCAGGCAGTTCCCACTCTGTCTCCTGACGGGTCCTTGCACTTCCTTTTTGATGGAGGGGCAAAGGGGCAACACGGATGCTGGCTTTCAAATGATTAAACTTTTCATAGGGCCGCCCAGTTTCTTCTGCTTGAAAGGGCTGGAAGTGCAAGGTGTGCTCCAGAGAGGCACGGACAAAGATCTGATGCCTTTTCCCACTGTCTCATGCTTACAGAGATACTGCTTCCCGCTGCTCCCCCTCCTGCACCAGGGAGGGAGAGTTGGGAAGGGAGCAGCTTCTTTAGGGCCTGGGCTTTGCTGAGCTGTGCAAAGGCTAGTGCAGGTTGAGATCCTTTCAGTTCAAGGCAATTTGAGCATCTCAGTCCCTTCTTAAGGTTTAAGAACTGGAACTGTTTTTGAAGCGCACCCCCTCCCCCCAAGTGGAAAGCTGCAAGGTTTCCCCCCACCCCCGAATGCTCGCAGGAGGTCCTGCCAGACTGTCCAGATAAGCTCCTTCCCTGCTTGCTGGTGGGTGGCAGACCTCAGTGTGACAGATGTGACACAGTGACCTTTGCAGCGACGTAAAGACGGGCGTAGAGCAGAGACAGGAAAATTGCCCACGGTGTAGTTAGTCACTGGTGCCACTTGCCTTGGGAGAGGAGAGGCCCTCTGAAACCCCAGCAGCTCTGAAGCGTTTGGGTTAGCGTCCTGTCCTCACTGGTTGGAAGAGTGGTGCCCAGGGAATAAGAAAGCTGCAACCCTCCTTTTTTTTAAACTTCTAGCCAGGGGAGTTCGTTTCACACAGTCTGCATCCCATGCAGGCAGGGGCTACCCAGTGCATATTCAGTATATATATTCAATATATATATTTACCCCTTTGGTTACATGCGTGCATCTTTGAGAGAGCAGGACAGCTTCACATATTCCCTTTTGCTTTCGAAATCCTGGTGAGGGCTTGCTGGGGCAAATGTCATCTTTATGGCTTTCTTCTAATGCCCTGCAAATAGCAGCGGGAGGGAGTGCAGCTGCGGGATCGGCCAAGACTCTGCCATCCTCCCCGTGCCAAAACCTGTAGGGCAGAGCAGAGAGGTGTGATGCGGAGAGGCTACAAGAGATCCTCGGTCTGCTTTTCCCCGATGTTGAACCTTCCTGCGCTGGCCCTGCGTTGGTTAGAGCAGGCACAAGCTCACGCAAGGGACTTGGCAAGAAAGGCCCTTCTGTTTGTGGGTGGTTTCTTCACACTCACAAGTTGGATCCATCAGTAAAAAAAATTGTCACAAGTAAATAGATACTTTTTCTCAAAAAAAAAGACCCCAGAAAACCCCAAGTCCCACTTTTTTCCGAACAGTTTTCTTCACTAGGTTAGTGGGGATGTCTTGGGCTTTTTCCATCCCAAAGAAAGAACTCGGGGAGTTTAAGTTCCTTTGCTTCTATACAGCAAAGAAGTAAAAATGCAAAGGAGAGATTATATTTGGGCAGTTGAGATAACTTACAGTAAAACTTAAGATTTTATTAGTTTTCCTCCAAGGTGGAGGAAAATTAGTGTTACCTTCTGTGTAGTTACACAATTGAAGTTTTTAACTTAATAGTTGAATCGTCTTTATTTCAATCTCATTGCCTCTTGGACTGAACCCAGTGAAATAATGCATTTCGTGTGGTGCGCTGAAAATATTTATAAATTTTTGTTACTTTGGGGGAGGGAGGTAGAAGTTGCCACTTTAGTGCTTTTCTAAATGTACAGCAATCTAAGTTAATTAAGCATGCATGATATCATTCCAGTCAGCAGGACAAGATAATGTCCATCCTGACTGTAATGATGTAAATGTCCTTCGCTTCCATTAGATCTATCAGAGAGTAATACATGTCATTTGTCAGAGTAACATCTCAGATGATGAAGAAATTCTGTATCGGGTGTGTGAGGCGTGAGCAAGTAGAGAGTCCCGTATGAAATTTCATCCCCCCTTAATGTTTTGCATGAGCTCTTTTTGGTTGATGTTACGTGTTTTGAGTTTTGTAGAGAAATTACATGGATCAGTCTTGCACCAATGCAGGCATGGGGCAGGTAGATTGGTTCTGCAAACGTACAACGTTGCCTCCCTTCAGGACCTAGGAACCACTTGAAGCATCTCTTCTTCGTAAAAGTGTTAGGGGAAAAAAAAAGAAAATTAATTCCTTGTATTGCCAAGTTAATTTCCTGAACAAATTTCCTCTGCATTCTTGCATGGTGTGTGCTCTGAGAGGTGGTGGAGCTTAGGGAGTGGTATTGGAGCACTGGAAGTCCAGGTCGCTGCTGCACAACATAAAGCGGTGGCTTTTAAGCGCTCCTCATGAAACCCACTTGGCAGGCGCTGAGAGTGCTCATTTTGCAGTACTGTGCTTTGCTGCCCTGGACTATTGCTAGCGTTTTGATTTCTGCCTGGGGTCGGGCCCAGCCTGACTCCCTTTCTTCTCTCCTGCATTGGCAGTCTTCCTGTCCTGACCATCAACAACACTGGAGGTAAAACCAACCAGCTGCTTGGTTTGGCTGCTGGATGGCGGTCCTTAGCTTACATGGGTGTCTCTGCAGAAGTGCAGAGCAACTTAAACCTCAGAAGACAAGAAAAACTAAGATAACTTAAAGTTGTTGACACCTCGACCAAATGGATGGCGTGGTTATCTCCTGCTGATTTGGTTCTCTCCATCTTCGGCCTTGTTTCTTTACCTGGATTTAGGCTAGTGCGGGGCTAACGTTTTAAGTTAGCATCGCCACCGAAACACTGCTCATTTCAGCTGAGACCACCTTTGTGTCCATTACTGATTCCAGGGTGTAAAGCAGACAGATTATTTATCCTGCCCTAAGGAAGAAGAGGAGGAGTTAAAATTTAAGAGCTGCCACTCGTAGGCATGAGTGCTGACTAACGCTTACTATCTTGAGTAGACGGAAATCAACTTGGACCTTGTCTGATAAATGCCGCCGGTTTGTTTTTTTTTCATATAGAGCTATACAGAAGAATCGAGAAATAAATGCGTTCACTTAAGATAACATTGTGTGACAGCTGAGAACAATTAAAACTCTTACTTGCAGTTATATTTTTTTTTCCCGTCCTTTCTAAAGTAGGAGGGTGGTGTCTGCAGCTCTGAGTAGTTGATACAGGGTATTTGTCACTGGTCTGATCTTATCTAGAACAAGTATCATGCAAGGTTATTTATTTTACAGCCTTTTCTCCTAGTTTTGCACAACACACAGATCTTGGTAGATGGGAAAGGATTTTATTTTTTTTCTTACTAGAGTCTTTTTGGCAATAAACACACGCCTAACTGTAAGAGAAAAAACTTTCACAACCGAGCTTGTTTTGTGAAGCCCAAACATTTGTGAAGCTTACAAACCTTCAAACTTTGCATAATGTGCCCATCCCTGGTCTCAAACATGAGGTGGCAGAAGAGGGAAGTGTTACTTTTTTTAACCAACAACTTATGACTGTGTCAACACATGACAATTTGTCAAAGCTTGCTGTAGCGGTGCTGTAAATTAATTTTTAGCATCAGTTGTGAGTGGTAAACACTTTGTGCGGTGTGAACAGCTCTTAGTACAGTGTGAGTTGTCAGCAGCTTGTGAGCTACCCTAAAAGAAAAAAAAAAGCGAAGGAGGGAAGGATAAAAGCTCATTTACTAGTACAAAATGGATCTGAGTCTGCAAAAATTCGACATGCGGTGGTATGGTTTTTTTCCTCCATACCAGTCAGCTCAACCTTGAAAATTTGTTTTTTCCGTTAATAATAATCACCTGCAAAGTTGGGAAATCACAACTCTCCATCCCGTGCACCAAGTAGTGCCTGATAGCAAACAGGTTTCTCAGGCTCGTGGCTAGATAAAGTAGAGCCCTCTCTTTACTCTTGGGTTTTGCCTTTGCTTGCTTGCTTTAAAAGCAGAACGTGTCCTGTGAATGCGAGCATGCTCCTTTGTTGAGAAGTCTCGCATAAACGACATAAAATGCCTGGAAAAAAAAATGAGATGGCAGCCCAAAGAGAAATGATGGGGCCTGAGTGCTCTCTCTTCCTCGCCTGTCCCCTCGCTGTTTCTCCTTGCCTATCCCAGCTGCTGTGGTGGAGCTGGCAGTGATGGTTCATACAATAGGAGTTGACGTGGTGGAAGAAAATTATTTGGTACGAAAAGCCGGGGAATATGTATTATAGAAAGCAACTTTTCAGATACAAACCTATTTTAACCTGTCATTTTAGCAGAACAAGCAGTAATAACCTCCCAACCTAACAATGAGTGTTAAGTTGACATTAATTCGCTCAGTCGTTGAATTGCTAACATGTCTACAACTTACAAGTGAACACCCACTCAAGAGAGAGAAGAAAGAAGTTGGTGCCTGGAATTCCTGGCCTTGCTGAAATCACCTACATTTTTTGGCGCTAACACCGGTATTTCGTCTTGCGTTTCCTGCAAACGTTTTAAGTAGAACTAGATGAGAAAAACAGCTGCGCGTGTTTGTTCGCTGCTTTGATACACTCAGCATGGGGCTTTTTTCTCAAGCGCAGCCGCTCTCGGCTTCAGCACCCTAGGTAGGCTTTGACTGCGCCTTGTTCCTGTAAGCAGGCAGCACACATGAAGCTTGGCATGAGAACTTTATCGAGTCCTACTAAAGCTAGTTGTAACCTGGTTATGGTTTTAAAAAGAAGTACGACTTTATTTGCGTATTTGCTCACAAAGAATTTTGGTTTTATTTCCTTTTCTAGATATAACTGTAGGTGCTGCTTGTATGAAAGAGCTGAGCCACACCATCCAGTAAACTGTCTAAAGCAGCAGTTGGCTTGCTTGGAAATCACTTCCAGGACTGCGTTGTAAGTAAGTATTTTTGCAAAAGCAGCATCAAATGGTTTCTTCAGTTTTGGGGCATTTTTTAGGTGTTTTGATTGTTCCTTATAATTTCGTAGTTTTACTCTAACATCTAGTAGACAGTAGCAATGCATGTGGGAACACGAGCACTCCCATGTCTGAAGCATAGAGCTAAAGCCCTTTAAAGGCTCTTTGCTGACTTGCTCTAAAGCTCCCCGGCACAGTACCTGAACACTTCTGAGAACAGGCAGCTACATATAAGCCTAAAAAGAAATTGGCAAAATATCTATTGATCTATTTTGCCATTTGCTCTGTGGCATACATGTTTTTTGGGTGTTCATCCCTGCCTACATTTTCATACTTCAGCATTTTAGCTATGCCGATGTAGCCCTGCTAGGGCAAATGTTTTCTGGAGATATTCCAGGGGCATAGGGTGTGATCTGCCTAACTCGATTTGAAATACTCCATGGATAGCTGCCCTAACTGATTGGAAAAGGGCACTGGTTTGTCTCTTCTGACATGCGGTGGCTATGGCTAGGGAACCTCAGTAGGCTGTGAATGGTGGTGAATTTGGTCAGCTGCATCTGTCTCTGTGATGAGTATGTGTCGATGAAAAAGACCCCATTTCAGGTTAAAAGCCAATTGCATTGAGTATGGCACTGAGAACATGTTTGCACTTAAAGTTAATAACTTCATCTTAGAAAACTTCAAGATGTACACCAAGAAAACCTCATCATGCCATTTATACAGTTCCTTCTGAAAGCATAATCTATTTGGGGATGTTTGTGACCTGAAATTTTATAATTAGTTTATTTCTTTTTATATTATCTTCATTTTTCTGCGGCTGATGATGCAGGTTATGAGAAGTATGATATAAGAAGTATTTATGACTTCAGTGCATTTCCCTTGAAATGGCCTCTGATAATACGGTCGCTTCAGAGAGCAAGGGTGGGAGGGTTAGTGCCCTAGGGCTCAAATCACTTAAAGTTAAGCACGTTATACCAGCTGCTTGCACTACTCAGCACCTTGCAAAGTATTCCCTACAGGTTACATTTGCTGTACGTAAACTAGTTTTTTAAAAAAATATATATTTGCTAATCCCAAGACTGAGCCCTTTAAACCCAGTGGTAAAGCAGTTGAGTCAGTCTTTTGGAATAGGTTTCTTGTTTGTGGATTTTTGTTCTGTGCAGTCGACTGAAACACCTGGGTCACTCGCCGGGTGAGGTGCCGGATAAAAAATCCTTGCCTCAGCTCTGCCAGGAGTTACCTGCCAGATGCACTGACTGCCATTTCATCCTTGCTCTGCGCCCACCGGACCCATGGGGTACTCAGCCCAATTCCATGTGGGTGGATGTGAATGAGATGAAAAAAGGACCCGGTTACTGTCAGTGGTGGGACACCTCAGCTGTGGCAAGTGGGCAGAGAAAGAGTGAGGGAATTACTTGGGGGAAATTAGGACTTAGGAAAGTCTAAGAAAATTTAAATTAAATAAATGCTGTGTGTTTATTTAATTTCTAATGAGAAAAATTAGAAATTTAGAACAAGATAAAACATTTGTTTTCAGCATCCTGCCTGTAAATGGTCTGTCTGCTTCTGGAATTTAAGTTCTGACCCAAGCCGCCGTTGGTTCCAGTGCAGGAGGCAGGAGCCTGGCACCCCTGGGGTGGACAGGCGCTTCTGGTCCCTTCCTGCGCGGGGCTGCAGCACTGGCCAGCAAGAAGCCCTGCTGCGACCCAGCCCCGGGCTGGCACCCCTGTGGAGTTGCCCGTAAGCCTTGCGGCTGTTTCAAGGGGAGCTTTTCACTCTATTGCAATTAGTGCTGGATTTTCATTCATTTTATGTCATGGTGTTTGAATCACTGCCGCACCAGGAGCTGGAGCTGTGCGTTTATTTAATTTACCCTGAGGTAGTCACTACTTGTTTGGTAGAGCGGGTTTGTACCTGGTGTCGCGGGGCGCACACTACTGAGACAATCTATCTCAGTTATATCAGTTCCTTGAAGGATTCGCTATTCCAGTGTGGCTTTCTGCCTCATGTCCTTCCAATTTAACTGTATTAGTCTGTTTAATGGTGCCAGAAGGCCACATATTGGCTCTCCGTGAAGCCTCAAACAGTAGATGCATGCTTTTAAATAGTTAAATAAATGTTAATTATGATTCACGAATAGTTTTTCCCCAACTATTAAGTAATATCAAACACTGAATTTTTCAATCAGTAATTGTTTTTCCAGCTGCTGAGTGGGACCAAGTATTCAGTATTTTTAGAGGGTTATTTTTGCAGCTGCTCGGCTGCTTTAAGCATAAAAGTCTTATGTTATTTTGTAGGGCTTGACAGCCTTGGATGAACAGTGGGCACAAGTTAGTGAAAGCCTGTGGTGGAAGTGGAATGATGACAATCTTCTGGTGCACCTTGGTTAGCTGGGGATAGTTTGGGCTGCATCCAGATAAGCTGAAAATAGCATATTGGACACTTTTGAAAGTTTGTGGTTTTGCAGCTTTTTCTCACAAAAAGCTGAAGTCTCTTTCTTTCTCACTGTGCTAGTTATTACACAGGTGGAAATTAGTTATTTTTTCCCTCTCAAGATCTTGAGACTTTCTCTAAGGGATTCAGCCAGTGTGAATTACTTCATGAAAAAACGGTTTGACTTGTTGGACCTCCTTGCAAATAGTATAATACCACAGAATTTTGTCTTAGAAATACATATTAGGTGCCTTTCACTGAAAGATCTTAAGGCATTTTCAAATATCAATTAAACCACAGATCATGATGATAAAGGAAGAGACACTGTTCTCACCCGTCATGAAGACTACCCTGGCTGTGAGTACATTGCTCACATTTGCCCAGTGATTCATTAGCCAAGCCAGTAAAACAATCTAGGCAGCCTGATGCGGTGGCTTACTGGTAGGTTTTTTTCAGCCGATTGCTCATTTTGACATGATGCATAGCAGCATCGGAGCATTTACTTGGGAACTTACCTTTTTTGTGCATCTCCTTTCTCTGGTTTTCCCACCAGATCTGCTCTGCTGCCTCACAACACCACTGTTTGCATGAGCAGTTGCTGTAATTCTTTGAAGCTGTGAATAAGACATCTTCTAAATATCACTCGTGTTTTGATGAAGCCATAGTTGTGAGCACAGAGTGCACAAAGGACACTTGACAGTGAGAACTAGAGAGAGGCTGATTTTGGTAGGGGAGAAGACCAAATAGTGAAGGTTAAATTCTGTTTAATGTTCAGTTGTGTTGGGTGTTTAAGCCAAAACAAAAAAGAAGCAGAATAAAAAGCTTCTGCAAAGCAGAAGTGTGAGTGAAATGAAACGTAGTGGCTAGACAAATAAAAAACCCACATTCATTAAAAAACCCACCAAACTTAAATTTCAAAGCCCCGGTAGAAGAGGTGATCTGTCGGCCACCCAGTTTGGACTGGGCACCCAACTGGAACTCATGGTCTGGGTTCAGTTCCCCGCCCCGGTCACAGGTTTCCGGTGTGTTCCTGGGCAACCTCCTTCATCTGCCCCATGACTGACTTCCTCATTTGTGCAGCGGAGATCATCCTCCTCCCTTCCATTGTGAGGGTGAAGCCTAGTGATGCTGCTGAAAGACGTGGCTGTTGCGGCAGGGAGAGCCAGCCCGGGGACTAGAAGCAAGAGGGATGCGCTTCCTCACAGGGGATAATCACCCATGCTGCTTGCATTTCAGTGTTCAAGAGTAGAGGAAATGATTTCCAGACTTAGAAAGGGTTGGGTTTTTTCTTTCTGAGTCTTTCAGGCCTGTTCTTCATGGTGTTTGGCTGCCCCAGTGCAGCGGCAGGCACTTGGAGTATTCCCTGTCTCTCGCCTTTCTCCTCACAGTCTGTCTTCTCATGGCTTGGAGTCATTCCTGTCTGCTCAACACACGCGACCCACACAAACCCAACGGGATCAGGAACGCAGCTTCTGTCATCTCCCGAGTTATGCAGAGATCTCTTGACATTTAAATATAGTTGCATGTTAGAAAGAAACCGAAGAATGCTTGAGTGTGGTCAGGAGGTGACCCTAGCAGTCAAGGAAGGTGGTATGAGGGAGCGGGCCATCACCTTCCCAGCCTCCTGGCAAGGTGTGCGCTGGCACAGTGTTGCTGCACCTGCTGAGGGTGTCCAGATAGCCCACCACCATGGTTGGCCTCCAGCCCCTCTGCTCCTCCACTCAGCCCCTGATAGGCAAATACTCATTTGAGAGATTTTGATATGAATTCACCCAGTGCTGATGCTAATTCTGAGTAAGGAATCAGAAATGACAAGTCACATGCCTTTTGATGTGTCCTTTTATCTCCTGTGGGTTGGTAGTTAAACTTTTCTCACCCCTTAGAGGAAGTATTTTTCTCTGGGAAGAGGGTGTGGAGCCCCATACACTCTTTTTCTCTTCCAAACATTAGTAATGCTCTTCTCCAGCCACTGACAAGATCTTGAAAGTACAGACAGGTTCATACTCAGACCAGAACCACGTTTTGTTTTCTATTTGATTCTGCTACAACAGCTCATGCTGTTTCCTGTCCTCCCACCTTCTTACTGCCTTCCCTTTTTTTGGCCTTGCTTTCACAAACCTTCCTTTGACCTGACCCTCAACTTTCTCCGAGCTGCCAGCATTAATAAGAGATCCTCCTCTTTGGGACCTACGTAGTCCGCCCATCCCTGCTGTATTTCAGTCCTCCTCCCGTGGCCACAGAAATGCTTTCCCAGCCTTGCTTTGAGATCCATACTCACCTGGACCTCCTTCTGCCACTGATTCTCCCTATGCTGACCCTTCCGTGTGAAGTTTCTTCTCCGTCGTGGCTTGTGTCTGGTAGGATACAGAAGTGGCACAAGGTGCTCTTCCCTCCCAGGTCCTCCCTCCTCTACTTGTTCCTTATTCCTGAATGGCAGCCAGCCTTTGTCTTGGGCAGGTTGACTTTTCTTCAGTAACTCTCTCATCAATTTACTTTCCTGTTTATTTTTCCCCACCATTTCACTGCACCCAGCTTTCCCTCTCTCCTCA